AGAAAAAAAAATTTTTTATTTATATGCATTAGTTGTGACGTAATTCAAATTTTAATATGTTAGGATTTGCAATGATCAATGAGTGGTCAGATATTTTTTGGAGGGGAGTGTATGTAGATTCGGATATATAGAACATTTTTACTTAATACGCAGTAAGCGATTTACATTAACCAAAAGTGATCAAATTATCTTGTGAAGTTAAAAAAAAGGTCTGCAATATTAATAAAGTTACAAAAACACATATTATAATACAAATATTAATCCAATTGAGATTAAATTTTATATGCAAATAGTATCGCATCTGCTGAACAACTTTCACTTAGAAATGAAAAGCAATTAACTTTGACTAAAGTGTTCAAATTTTCTTGTAAAGTTAAATAAGTGTAACTTATTTAGTAAAATTACAAAAAAAAATATTTCTACACGAATATATTAATCCAATCAATATAAAACATTAGATATAAATAGTATCGAATCTGTTGAGCAACTTTTGCTTAGCGATAAAAAGTGATTGATGTTGACCAAAGTGTTCAAATTATCCTGTGAAATTAAAAAAAAAGGTCTGAAATATTAATAAAGTTACAAAAACACATATTACAATATAAATATTAATCCAATCGAGATTAAATTTTATATACAAATATTAACGAATCTGTTGAGCAACTATTCTTAGAAATGAAAAGTAATTGACTTTAACTAATGTGCTCAAATTTCCTTGTGAAGTCAAAAAAGTGTGACTTATTTAGTAAAGTTATAAAAAAAGTTATTTCTATACGAATATTAATTCTATCAAGATAAAACATTAGATATAAATAGTATCGAATCTGCTGAATAATATTTACTTAGAAATAAAAGGTAATTAACTTTAACCAAAGTGCTTAAAATTTGTTATGAAATCTCTGTATTAATGTTTATAAAAAAAGGATATTAAATATATATAAAAATTAAAATTTACAAAAATAAAATAATTACATTTAGTAAGAGTTTATACAAGTTTAAGTATTTAAAAAATAAGATTGTTTTTTTTAAAGATTATGTAAATAAAATAAGGTGTTTTTTTTTGTTAAAAAAGAAAAAAAAAAGATTGGAAAATTGATTTTCAGTATAACTATAATTAATCGTGCAACTGTAATTAATTGTGCAACTGTAATTAATCATCAAATTAAAAATTTTCATATCATTTCGCATACAATTTTTTTTACAGAAAAAGCAAAAGAAAAATAACAAAATAAATTAGAGTTTTAAATTGAATCAAATATAATATATTGTTTATTAAATAATTTAAATAATTTGATCAAATTAGGTTAGATTAGGTCAGGTCAGGTCAGGTCAAATGAAAATTTAAATCAGGTCACTTGATTGACCTGATCTAATCTGACCTGTTCGGAGCTCTACCTTAGATATTTGCTAGACGCGAGAAACTTTTTGGGGACTCTTATTAACTGCAGATGAAATTTTCAAAAATCTAGGAAAATCAAATAGGTAACGGAGTGAATTAATGCATCAAATGAAATTATTTCGTAAATGTCAAATTCTATTTGATATTGAATTAGGTAAAACTGAATTACCAATTTCTTGATGGATATCTATGGAAGATAATTTTAATAAAGGAGAAGATTATTTAGTATAATTAGCAAGTAAACTACTATCAATTACACCCCATGCAGCTGGATGTGAAAGGATTTGGTCTAACCTTGGCTGGTTATATGGTAAAAGAAGAAATCGGCTGGGGTTAAGCAGAGTTGAAAATATGTATAAATTATCAGCTTATTATCATGCACATGCGAAGCAAGAATTACCATATTATAGTATAGAAAAAACAAGTGATGAAATCTGTGAAATTTTAGTTAATGCACATTTAAATCTTGATGATGATCTTATTGAAATAATGGAAGCAGATAACGATATTAGTGATACAGAAGTAAATTCATTTGGTGAAGAAGATGATTTGATAATTAGTAGGTTTTTGAATTTAGATGAAGGTGCATTTGTTAATGATTTAGATGAATTATTGAAGATAGTTTGGAAGAGGATTCAGCGGAGGAAGAAGATAATCAAAATTTAGTTGAAAAAGAAAAAGAGACTGACATAGAGTGGGATCCAATTGCAGCTGCTGATGATATAGTTTGTTTTTGATTGATGCATATAATATGATTTTACAATAATAAATAAAGTGATAAACTGTGATTAAAATTTGGATCTTTAACAATTTTTTTATTAATTTTAATTTCATAACTGTTGTTTATCCGTTTATTTTTTTAAATAAAATTAAATAAAATCTGTTATCGGAACACGTATTTGAAGGTTACGAAGGTTACGGAGGTTTCAGAATTATGAAATTTAGGCAAGTTTCGGAGGTTCCGGAAGTTCCGGAGCGTCTCGGAAATTTCGGAAATTTAGGCAGGTTTCGGAGGTTACGGAAGTTTGGGTAAGAGTTTCGGAACTTGACCAAAAAGGCGAAACATTTCGCTAATCATAAAACAGTTTCGCCCGAAACATTAATTAAATGACATAAAAAAGGAACGTTACCGAATCAAGGCAGCAAATTAACTCAGAATTTTGACGCAATCTTATATTGAAAAAGGCTCCTTGAACATTTCTATGAATATATTTATGCATAAAGTCAAGGATGGTGAGGTAACGACGATTTCAAGAATCCACACTGAACGCGTTTTAACGGTGGTTGAGTTCCAATATAAGTACTATCGTTTACAATTGAACACACTATTCATCATAAGAATATACAGTATTTTAGTAAACTATTCCAGGGAATCATTAGTGACAAAACTGGTGCCATTTTGTTAATGCATCAACACAGGCGAAGTACTGCACCATATTGTTTTTATTATATGGGAACGTTACTTGTATTTGACATAAGAAAAGCTTCGGGATCGAATCTCACACTCCAGAAAGAATAAATTTTTCGTTATTTTTTTTTATTTGAGATAATTTAAGAAATTAAAAAAAACTTTCCATTTCTCCGCTAGATTAATCAAGTAAAGGAAACTTTCTTTTTTGATGCTTTCTAGATCAATTAAAAATGCTAAAGACTTGTAATTCAACTCGAGTCGTGTTAAAAGATAAATACTTTATATCAAAAAATTAAGCCTTGTTTTGGAAAATACATCCGAAGGTCGTAATTAATGAAATTGTGTTTTTGATGCTTTTACTTTGTATCAAGATCATGGATTATAAAATTTGACACATGGAGGACTTTGGTACCCGTAATTTCAAAATATTCATAGTAAGCACAATTTTTTGACAATGAGACAATACTTCATAATAAATTTCGCAATTCTAGGGATGCTAAAAAGTCACATGGGACCAAGTCTATGGAGTCCCGGTCCAGTTCAAAGTCCTTTGAACTATAGGAACTGGCGATCTTAGGACTGCTGTCTTATATAAATTGGACTTGCGGTCCTAAAACTATTAAATAAATAACTAATGAATCGATAAAAGAAGAATGATATAATCGTTCAACTAGAAAGATGAAGATTTGTTCATCTTGCTCAACAAGAATGATTATGGTCTATATTGTTTTTAGTATAATATTATTAAGACCAAAGTCCTTAGTATTGCTATTTCCAAACTGTCTTTATAGAACCACAGTCCTAGGGAATCGCAAGTTCCGATTTCTATAGGACCGCAGTTATAGGCATGCAGTCTCGGGACCTGGTCCTAGAATCTAGTCCTAGAATCCAAGTCTTATGTTACTGGCTCTTCTTTTATACTGGGAGTTTTGGGACCGTACTAAGATCAGAAGTCCCTACAGTAATTCATTTTATGTAAAATACTTTAAAAGAGTTTATTATTTTAGTAATGGGTATGATCTTGCATTTAATAGAATTTCATCTTTAAAGTAATTATCAACTTGTTCACTAACAATATATAAACAAAAGATTTGACTTGTCTACAAAGAGAATTT